CCACGGCCCATTCCACCACGGTCTCCTCTCCCCTGTCCCCTTGTGTCCACGCTTCCCCCATGTCCCCATCTTCTCCATCCTTGTCCCACCATGGCGCATTCCACCACGTTCTCCTCATGTCCCCACTGTCCCCAACCCCCACATCCCCATCTTCTCCATCCTTGTCCCACCATGTCCTTCTCCCATGCTTCCCCCCCCCAGTGTCCCCATCCCACACAACCCCCTGTCCCTCCCAGTGTCCCCCACCTCTCCTCTTCATCATCCTCGTCCCCCATGGCGTCGTCGATGGCGTCATTCATCAGCTCCTCTTTCATGTCCATAATCTCTGCCTGCTTCTCAAACTCCATCATGATCTTCTGGATCTGAGGCAGCTTCAGCTGGGGGGGACACAAGGACACAGTACGTGGCACACAGGGATGTCCCCATGGCCACGTTGGCCACTTCATGGTGGCTACAGCCTTGGCTATGTCCCCACGGCCACCTTGGGTGGTTTGTGGTGGCTACGGTCTTGGGGATGTCCCTATGCCCACCTCAAGTGGTTTCTGGTGGCCTTAGGCACATCCCCTGGGGCAGCTCATGGTTGCCACAGTCTCACGGGCATCTTCACGGCCACCCCAAGCAGCTTATCGTGGCCATGGCTACAGGGATGTCCCCCTGAAGCAGCTGCTGGTAGCCACGCTCCCGGGGACATCTTCATGGGCAGCCCAGGGCAACCTGTGGTGGCCACAGCCTTGGGCCTCTCCCCTGGGGCAGTTTGTGGTGGCCACGGTCTTTGGGACGTCCTCATAGCTACTGCAGGGCAGCTCACGGTGGCCACCTTCTCAAGGACGTCCCCATGGCCACCCCAAGGCAGCTCATGGTGGCCACCTTCTCAAGGACATCCCATGGCCACCACAAGGCAGCTCACGGTGGCCACAGCCTTGGGAAAATCCCCATGGAGGATCTCGTAGTGGCCACAGCCTTAGGGACAACCCCACGGGCACCCACCTGCCGGTTCATGGTGGCCATGGCCTTGGTGACGCCCTTCATGGCTTGGGCCATGGAGTTGTTGGACTTGAGGGTCTGGATTTTGAGGGACACGGCCTGGACGTTGGCCCTCATGGTGATGAATTTCTTCACGTAGCGCCGCGTCCGCACCAGGTCCTTTGCCATGATCTTCACCGCGTCCTGAAGGCCGGGGGACGGGGAGGGACATCGAGCGCCCATGAGGTCCCCCAAAAGGTCTAAGGGATCTCCAAGGACCCCTCTGTAACCCTCAGGGCCCACCATGGTCCCCACCACCATCTCAGCAGTCTCCTGGTCCCCTTGTACCCACTGGGGACACTTGGGGACTTCCATGGTGTGTCCCCCAGCTCCGTCCCGCCCCAT